TAAGACTTATAATGTGCCGTTTATGCTTTTGGTTTGTATCGGAACATGACATCACGAGTTTTGTTATATAATGAAAATACATTTCTTTAAGAAATGCTTTGGTAAATCTTATTTTATTATATTTCGTTTTGGGAACAAATTCCGCAACTCTTTTAATCAGAGGATTACTCTGAAATTATTTTAAAAGCATAAATTAAACCGGTCTTTTCTGGCCGAGAAATTAGGGGATGTCACATCGGCAAAGTAATCACGTACCAATAAGTCGTGTGAGGCTTGACGATCACGATTGACGAACGCTCTTGTACGAGCAACATTCGAACTTTCTTCATCGTGAATGTGTTGCACAACATTGAAGAAGGTCGAGATGAATTCCCCGTCATCAGTTTAATAATTCCAAATCCTCCATGTGTTTTTTGGTTTATAAAATGAGAATAAAATGTGATGAAAGGTAAGAGTTTTATTAGATTTATATAGATATTGAGTTTTTGTAAGAAAAATTAAAAACTTAAAAAATGACTGTTGAACGGTCAAGAAGGAGCAGACCATTTTCATTTGCTGTTTAATTTCGTCGTCGACAACACGAAGGAACACGACAACGACCAGCCGGGATGGTGTGCACGGTCGTGGTCGTGGTCCAGCTCAACCACAAACCCTCTCGTGCAACGTATAGAAGATGGTCTAAGCTGTTGTTATTGACCATGAAAAAAATCTTTTGGACGATAGATCTTTTGTCGTTGATATTAAAAAGATATGCTCAAAAAGTATAAACTATTTCCTCGTTTTCATTAATTTAATAGAGTAAATTACACGAATCGTCCCTCAGTTAGGTACCAAAAAGCACGTTTAGTCCCTATTTTTAAAAATTAACTCGGACAGTCCCTGTGTTTCAATTTCCTTGCACGATTAGTCCCTATCGCCGTTAGCCGTTAGTGGTTTCCGTTTAAGTGCCCCAAAATCATGTTTAGTCCCTCGTTTCTTTTAAATTTATCATTTTAGTCCCTCGTTTCTTTTTAAAAGACTATATTGCCATTTTTTTGCACTTATTTATAACTTATCAATTAAATTAGATTAATTATAAATTTTAAAAACTTATATCATTTTCTTCTCTCTCTTAACTGTCCTCTTTCTCAATTCGGTCAACTATCACCATCTCCTTTCACCGTAGGCACCTTCACCAACCACCACCTTTCAACAACAAATTTGATACTATAACCAAAATCTAAAACTCAAACCCAAATTTGATACTAGAACCAAAATCTAGAACATAGAATCAACACCATATCCTAATCTAAAACCTTTAATCAACACTGATTTTCGAGATGAAGTCCCAAAACCTAAAATCATTCATGAAATCCCTACATCGATGCAAACTCCAAAGGGACTGGGATGTAGAATCGAAACCCTAGATTTGTGTCCTATTTTCTTTCTCAGCTTTTGCAACCACCTCTTATCACCACCGGAGAAGAGAGAAGAGTTGTCGAAATTTAGATCTACGAATGGAGTATAGATCTGAAATCTAGATGTAAAAGGTTTGTTGATGGTATGCCCTAAATCACATATTAAAACATAGAAGACAAGAGAGGACGACAACGAAAGGAATTGTTGATGGTATGCCCTAAACCACGGGCGGTGGTTGGTGAAGGTGCTGATGGTGAAAGGAGATGGTTGTCGACGATGATAGGAGATATTTTCCCGAATTGAGAAGATGACAGAGAATAGAGAGAAAATGTGAGAGAGAGAGAGAGTGTGTGTGTGAGAGAAAGAGAAAGAGAGAGAAAGAGAGAGAGAGAGAAATGATATAAGTTTTTAATATTTATAATTAATCTAATTTAATTGATAAATTATAAAAAAGTGAAAAAATAAAATAGAAAATGGAAATATAGTCTTTTAAAATGAAAAGAGGGACTAAAATGATAAATTTAAAAGAAACGAGGGACTAAACGAGCTTTTGGAGCACTTTAACGGAAACCACTAACTGCTAACGGCGATAGGGACTAACCGTGCAAGGAAATTGAAAGATAGGGACGGTCCGAGTTAATTTTTGAAAATAGGGACTAAACACGCTTTTTGGTACCTAACCGAGGGACGATTCGTGTAATTTACTCAATTTAATACGAAGACATGACATAGATTTTATAGCCAACATATTTTTTGTCGTTTGTTCTCTTGGCATCTCCCTCTCGAATGTATCCACAACACTCGATTGAATATACTTTTTCATTTTTCTTAGATAGCTTATCTTTGAAAACTACATATTTTTCTTTTATAAAAAACTTAATTGTATGTAATTTTCAGTCACAATATTTTGTATGTGATATAATTTAAACTATAGACTTGGTGTGTGGAATTATACTCTTCAACAACTATATAGAGTATATATCTTTCGAACTAAAGATATTTGCTATATAATGTAAAAAACCCCAATATATACCAATCAATTTTTGAAAAAAAAAAGATATTTCAGATGTTCAAAATAAGTTAAAAAGACTTACTAATTTACAGTGTTGATGACATCTAACGATTAATTTCTGCCTACAAAATTATCGAAACAATAGCAAACGATAAAATTTTAACACTTTGAAAAAATTCTATCTCAGTAGAAACTATTTGATAAATGATTAGTGTTGTATTGATCATATATATTGATATATTTTGTTATGATATTAGTGGTATTTACAACATTTGTTATGATATTAGTCATATTTAATTTTTACCGCTTAATCCCTCGATTAATCCTCACCTAGCCGATTAATCCTTTAACCCTAATCCACTGACTAGCTAACATCGAACGTTTTTTACAACGTTGCTAATTTGTAAAGAAAATTAGAGGATTACCACTAAAAAATGTGGTGCATAGAGTTTTTAAAACAAAATAATTTGTGTACCAAAAAAAACATGTTATTTTTATGTAGAGATGAACATAGTGCCAATCGGTACTGAAATGGATGAAAAAAATACTTTGTACTGAACCGAACTAACGTTATTTGTACTTGTACCGGGTATGATTCCGGTCTTTGATACTAGCATCGATACTGATGATATCAAATCCTAGGTTTTGGGCTTTTAGAGTACTGAGTACCGTTTTACACTAGTTCGGGTACAAGTTTAGGTTGGAAATTTCGGTAGTCTTGTTGGCCCCTATGTAATCAACTGAATAATTCAAAAAATATTTTTGATTCCGCGTATATTATACAAAAAGATTTTCAATTTTCAATTTCTAAAAGTACATAAGGTTTATAAAAGAAACCCTTTTGAAACAAACGGAACACTTTATGACGATTAATCTAAGACTAAACTGCACAAATGGTCCCTGTGGTTTGTTCAAAATTGCCACTTTGGTCCAAAAAAGTTTGGACTAGCACCAGAGGTCCAAACTTTTCATTTTGTTGCAGGTTTGGTCTGTTTCATAATTTGAAGAGGATAAAATGACTTTTTTGCCCTTGTTATTTGTTTTTTTATTTTCTTTTTATTTACTGCACTGGTTTTTAACTGAAAATAGAAAAAAATTAATTAAAAATAAAAAACAAATACAATTCTCTCTCTCTCTCTCTCTCTCTCTCTCTCTCTCTCGTTTTAATACCAAGAAGATACATCATCTTCTTCAAAACCCACCATCAGATCCTCACCATTGTTCTTCCTTCCAGCCACCACAAATCAACCACCAAAAAATACAACCCAAACACCAGCTTTGTTATTGTCCTCATCTCCCTTTATTCTTCTTCTTTCTCTTCTCCCTTTTTGTTTCTCTTTTAATTTAAATAAACCCAGATTTGGGGACACTCCAAACCTCTGTTATGTCGATGATGAGGCAGCGATGGCACACCCATTCTTTCTCACTGGAGAAGATGAACAAAAACCAAACCAGATCCAAGCCTCAAGGTCGTTGTAAAATAACGATGATCAATCAGCGATGGTTACAAACGATGCCATACAAATCCAAGTAACATCTTTCTCTCTCTCTCTCATGCCCATTGCCTTCTTCCCATATAATATCAAACACACACATTCTCTCTGAGAATTAAAAACACACACACGCACTATCGTTTGCATTTATTTCCAGAAGTAATTTTAGGGCTTTTAGCCCTAGAAATTAGATACAAGTTCACTTACTATCCTTTTCATTTATTTCAGATGTTCAATTGTTCAGAATAATCGATTTTGGGTTTGATTGTGTTAGATTGCAGAGGAGGTAATTGGATATCAGTGCTTCACCGGAAACCTCTTTTTGGATTCAATCGTTTTTTGTGAGTTTTTATTTTATTTTTGGGTTCTGCTCTGATATGAATCACTATATCAGACTGTATAATGTAAAGGTGAAGAACAACAATTATAGATTTAGGGCTTCTCCTTTGAACTCGAAAATCAGGAATAAAAAGATGAAATCAAATAAATCTTGATGCCCGTAACTTCAATAAACTCAGAAGCAGATAGAGGACCGATACCGATGAAGAGATCTGATCAGTCGTTTGTGTTTGTGTGTGTGTGTGTGAGAGAGAGTTTGCATTTTTATTTCCTATTTTATTTCTGTTATAAAAAAATATAGAAGGAAAATTTTCTTTTTTTATTTTTCTTTTAATCAGAAAAATCTTTAAATAATAAAAAAAAAACTGAAAAAGAAAAAGGTAAGGGCAAATTCGTCTTTATGAAAAAGTTTATAGCAAATAGGACCAAACTCGCAACAAAATGAAAAGTTTGGACCTCTGGTGCTAGTCCAAACATTTTTGGACCAAAGTGGCAATTTTCGACAAACCACAGGGACCATTTGTGCAGTTTAGTCTTAATCTAATCTTTTTGGACTAAAAGTTTTAATTTGTATATTTAATGGCCAAAGTTAAAGCTAGTAAAAAGTTGAAGGACTTATTTACAATTTACTATAAAAAAGTAGGTCCTCCAACGAAATCACCAGTGCACCACCACCATCATAATCTCAAATTAATCTCATCCGTCTATAATAATGACTCATTCTCCAATCCAACGTCCATGATTCAATTCCTAAATTACTACTTTTTCAACACAGATCTCATCTTCCCTTCCCTCTCTTAAACTCTGCAACTCTCACGGCCACCATCGCAATCTCCCTCCGCAGCTCCTCCGTATACTCATCCAAAATTCAATTTATACTCTGTGAGCCCTACTCACTCAATTATACCCTCTTCTATGTGTTCGCTGTGAAACCCTAGACAGTGTTACTTCTGGGTTTTAGGGGTTTAATAAAACTCGGCTGTTTCTTCGATTGAAAATGGCGAATTCGTACTCTTCTTCCGTTACTGCCTCTCAGGTATCTTTATTTTTTCTATCCGATTTAGGGATGTCGAAGTGATAATCTGTTTGTTAATGATTCTGTGTTGTGTTTAAAGGTTTTACATCGATGATAAATATTTCTTGTTGATTTTTAGGTGGGTTCGTACTTTGTTCAACAATACTACCAAGTGCTTCAACAACAACCGGAGTTCGTTCATCAGTTTTACGCCGATTCCAGTACCATGGTTCGTGTTGATGGCGAATCCACTGAGACTGCCTCTGCTATATTTGTAAGTCTCTTTGAGCTTATCATCCTTTGATTTAGAGATCGAATTCCATATATGTAATCTTCATAGTTTGTGTATATTTGAATCGTTTTATGCCATTTCTTGTATAGGTTTGAATCGTTTTATTGATTATTCAGATAAATGAGAAGTTACCTACCTGTCACTAGCTTTAATCACATGATTATATGAGTCTCTTTAAATCACAGCAATCACTCACAGAAAGCACATACCCTTAGTCCGATTTTTTCTATGCTGGTTGCTGGTTGCAAACGGATATTAAATTAATCCCTTATTTGCTGTTCGCTTAATTTGGAATCTTGCACTGTTTTCCTGCAGCAAATTCATTCGCTTATTCAGTCGTTACAATTTAGTGGAATTGAGATCAAAACAATAAATGCTCTTGAATCATGGAGCGAAGGCATAGTGGTGGTGGTTTCTGGTTCAGTAAGATCCAAGTTCTTTAATGGCTGGAGGAAGTTTGTGCAGACATTTTTCCTTGCTCCCCAAGAGAAAGGTTATTTTGTCATGAATGACATCTTTCACTTTGTAAGTGAAGAGGTTATACATCATCATCAACCACCTGTTTCCCTTGAGAGCAAAGTTGATTCTCAACCAATTAGTTCTACTCCTTCTGAGTTACTAGGTATTACTTCTCAATAAACAATTATTTATCCGATAATGAGAATTTAAATGCTTCATAGCATTGTTGAAGTGATGTTAGAAATGTAAAATTGCAGTTGCTGACGACGCATTAGAGTTAGAAGCAAGGGAAAATCTTAATTCACTACACTTAGAAGGAAACGATGAAGATGATTACTACAATTCCCAAGAAAATCAGCATCTGCAGCAGGAAGATTATGACAGTGAAGAAGAAGAAGAAGAAGCAGCAGTTGAAGAACCCGTGGCTCATGTTCATAATCAGAACACCGTGGAGTATGTGCAAGAACCTTATCATCACAACAACACAGTGGAGATTCAAGAGCCTGTGGTAGAATATGTTCAAGAACCGGTTTCTGCTGTGGAAGAGCCTATTGTAGAGCCTGTGAAGTTCACATACGCTTCTATAGTACGTATTATTTTGGTATTCCATATTTATATGATTGATTTGAGCCCATAAATTGGTGTCAGATATCTCCTATGCATAGTTAATGTTGCTAATATATTGTTATTGTTTGAATTTGAAAAGTTACGATCTAAAGGGAAGTCTTCACCTCAGCCACCTGTTAGTAGGAATGTCACAATGGCTCCAGCTCCGGAATGGAATCAGACTCCGGAACCCGTTGCTCATCTGCCATCTGCTTCTTCTGTGACTGAGTCTACTACTCAGGTCTCGCAGGAAGCTTATGCTAGTGAAGAAGGTGAATAACATTCCTTTTAAAAAAAGTTTTATGTGTTGTATCAAAACGATTATAAAATCATTTTATGAGATTGATAGTTTTTGTTTGTGTTTTTCAGGTGACTCAAAGTCTGTTTATGTGAGGAACTTGCCAACTACAGTTACCAGCCTTGGAATCTTTCAAGAGTTCAAGAATTTTGGCAAAATCAAGCAGGATGGTGTATTCTTGAAGAATCGCAAGGTTATTTCCCCCCCTCTCTCTTTCTCTAGTCTCTCTCTACTTTGTACTAGTTTGAATTGTTTCATACATAACATTTAAATTGCATTTGCATACAGGATGTAGGAGTTTGCTTTGCGTTTGTTGAGTTTGAGGACTTTGAGGGTGTTCAAAAGGCAATTGAGGTTTGTGCTCATTTACCTTTTCTTCTTTCTTCTTAATATATATATATATATATATATATATATATATATATATATATATATTTTGCATCGTATTATTCTTAAATTTGTCAAGTTGCTATTCTATGTTTATGAGGTTAACCCTTTGATCATGTTGTTATATTTACATTTTGTTTGTTTTTTTAGGCATCGCCAATACAAGTAGCTGGAAGGCAAGTCTACATTGAAGAGAGGAGAGCGAATAGCAGCGCTACTTCTCGTGGGGGAAGTATGTCTTTTGTTTTAAAATGCAATGATTTTGTTTATGATCATTTTTCTTATTGCATCATTTATATTTTGAAAAATCTATAGTTGGATAGATTTTCAAAGTAGAATGTTGTTATAAGAAAAAAATGGTGGCTACCTGTAATAGAAAGAAATGAAAGTAAAATGGTATAGTAGACAAAAAATAAATGGAAGTCTTAACATATTTCATGGGTGATTTGTTTGAGCAGGAGGAGGAAGAGGGCGGGGTGATGCTGCATCATCAAGAGGAGGGCGTTATGGTGGTGGCAGGGGCAATGGCTTTCGTTAAAAGATCATTACACCACACCACAATGATGGTTTTGAGTTGTGATTGATTTTTGTGTTGCTAATCTTGTTTAACATCTTTTATGTCTTTATCCTAGAGAGTCATGGATGTCGCGCAAGCGATATCTATCTCTTGAGTGTATTCTAGCTTCCATGTTTCAATTTATGAGATGCATGTGTTTTTTTTTTTTTTTTTTTTTTTTATACAAACACAAACCTATTATTATTGGTAACATAAACGTCTCATATGACCACTTTAACCACACTACAAGCACCTGTTGCAAGCATGATGCATTATCTATCCTATGTGAAGGAAGATATTGTTGAATGCCAACATGATCATCGAGATATCTATGCCATCTCACCAAGATGAACTCACCCATGTCCCCATATGAATCATTATGCCTCATATACATACACTTAAAACTTAAACCTCATGCTTCAAAACTCTAAATATGCTCTTAGCTTGGGGATTTTCTATTCTCCTTGTTGTCTAGTCATAAGTTCTTTTATCACCATTAGTGCTATGCGTATGATGCACATGCAATTACCGCTGCTCTGCACCAACTATGGAAGGTCATCGAAAAAGGCTTAAGGATTATCTTGAACCACAGCAACATCAATTATTACTCCTTTCTCCTTTGTTATAAGACTTCTCTTCAAATTCTTAGCTAATGGTTTTCAAAACTATTTAAATGAGATTTTAGAAAGAATATTTCAAAATAGCCTTCAAAACCTTGTTCATCTTTGTCTTATGTAATAAACTCACAGTTAAGATAGTTACAATCACATATTTTCTTATTTGGTATGTTTTCTATTAAAGTCGGAACTCATTTAACGATAAGAATGAGTGTTATGTTTACATTATTTTCAATAAGAATCAACAACATACTTCTACACATAATTAACAGACTCAATAAACTTACAAAATGTGAATAATAATCTCTACACAAAATTAACATAACTCTTGTTAACCGTCCACGTGATTCGAACCCGTCACGGAACATCTTCTTACAAAAGGCCGTTTACAGGCGACGGGCTAAACACCGGTCTATCTTTATCTTTATCACTATTTGCAGAACTCAATCCGCCATTAATGGTATTAGTATTACTGTTACTTTTTCTCCGAGGTCTGGCCTCCTCGAGCATGCTTATGACGTCCCGCATGGAGGGTCGATCCTTCGGAAGCTTTGCCGTGCATATTAGGGCTATTCGGAGGACTAAAACCATCTCTTCTTCTACATGTTTGCAGTTTCCTACATTCAGATCGACTACTTCTGTTAACGATTTGTTTTCTCGTATTTTTCTTCTAACCCATTCAACGATGTCGACTGAATCTCCGAATTCGGCTTCTATCGGCCGTTTTCCGGTGACAAGTTCCATCAGAACCACCCCGTAACTGTATATATCGCTTTTCTCGTCGACCTTTAATGTGTAACCGTATTCTGTAATCAAGATCGACACTCGTTAGGAAGAACAATTAATTAATGGAAGCAATAGTATGAACATTAATGTGGAAACTTACCGGGAGCGATGTAACCATAAGATCCGGCAACCATTGTTACTGTTTCGTTCTTCTTTACCATCATCCTTGCCAGCCCGAAATCAGCAATCCGGGCGTCCAGATTTCCGTCGAGTAAAATGTTATTCGGCTTTACATCACGGTGGATCACCGGCGGGTGACAGTCGTGGTGGAGATAAGCCAGCCCCTGAGCAACTCCGACGGCAATGTTATACCGCGAAACCCAATCCACCAACAGCCTTGCTTGTCCATGTAGCGCTTCGCCGAGACTCCCGTTTGTCATGTACTCATAAACAATCATCGCGTTTTTGTCGTTATGGAGAAACCCTAACAATCTGACGATATTCCGGTGCCGGAGTTTTCCCAGGACGTTCACTTCTCCGACGAAATCACCAGCGCTGCTTCCCAACTCGATGTCGTTCTTCGTGCTCCAAAGCTTTTTGACCGCCACGACTGTGTTCGTTCGTTGAATGTCTGCTTTGTAGACCACTCCGGTGGCTCCCATTCCGATCACGTTCGCTTCCTTTATGCAATTCAGGATGTCATTGCTGTTGAAATTGAGTTTCTGAAACGCCATAAGCCGCCATGGCCATTCTCCTTTTCCCATCTCGGATCTGTCCTCGAAACAGCTTCCATTCGTGTACCATTTACTGTACAGAGCTTTTCCGGCGAATGCGGCCAAAAAAACAGCTAACACCACCGACATTCCGATCACCCAACCGGCGATCACGTGCTTCGTGTGCAAGCCTTTGTGTTTTGAAGCTTTAGCCATAGCACCGGTGCATGGTGGCAGCACGTTACCACATAGATCACTGTTTCCAACGAGATCACTGGGGTTTATTGTCCTGAGCATTCCGTTCATCGGAACTGGGCCTTGAAGTCTGTTGTAAGATACATTAAGCGATTCCAATGCCGGAGAATTCCCGAAGTTTTCTGGGATGCCACCTGTCAATGAATTGTTGGACAGATCAAGAACGGCGAGCGTGCCCATCATAGAAATTGGAACCGGGATTTCTCCGGTGAGTTGGTTATTCCGGAGATTCAAGGACACCAACTTCTGGCAGGAAGCAATACTTGCAGGAACAGTTCCAGTGAACTGGTTGGAAGAAAGATCAAGAATCGAAAGTGAAGGGCAATCCTGGAATTGATTTGGGATTTTCCCAGTGAAACTGTTTTCAGAGACCAGAAAGTTTTGAAGATTGGGAATGGAGAGAATCGAGGACGGAAGTGTTGATTGAAGTCGATTTCGTGAAAGATCTATGAAAGAAAGGGAAGTTGACAATGAAATGTCGTTTGGAATTTGACCGGTTAGATTGTTGTCTGCCAATTCCAGTCTTTGAAGCTTCTCAAGACTACCAAATCCAACCGGAATTACCCCGGAAAGGAAGTTGTTTTGCATACGAACACGAACCAATGAGTTACAAGTCGACAAACCGACCGGAATCGGACCCGAAAAGGCATTGTTGAATAGAATTAATTTCGTGAGATTACCTTGATGACATAAGTTTTCCGGAATCCGTCCGGTGAATGAATTCGATGATACATCAACCCATTCCAGAGGGGAATTCAAGCCGAGATCATCCGGTAGAGAACCGGAAAAGGAATTGTTCCATAACTCGAGGACGCCCAATTGAGTTAGGCTACCGATTCCTGGCGGAATCGAACCCGTGAGTCTATTTGACATCACATTGAAGAGCTGTAAGCTCTTCAATGCTGATATCTCAGCTGGGATCTCTCCTGATAACATGTTATCAGAGAGATCCAACTGAGTAAGGGAAGTCAACTTCCCGATCTCGGAAGGGATCTTTCCTGTGAATTTGTTTTTATACAAGAACATTGCTTCTAACCCCTTCAGATTCCCCAATTCTGGGGGAATCAAACCGTCGAGATTCCCGTATGCCAAATCAAAATACTTCAGGTTCGTCAAGTTCCCGAATTCCGACGGAATTCCACCCACAAACTCATTGTACCCAATAACGATACTCTCCAGAGATGAAAGCTCTCCAATTACCTTTGGAATTGACCCAGTTAGATTATTCCCCGAGAGCCCGAGAAAGTTTAACTTTCTCAGATTCTTGAACGACACCGGAATCGAACCAACGAAGAAATTCCCTCTCAAATCCAACGTTTCCAGCCTGGTATTGTTCCCAAGATCTGGGATATCGCCTGAGAAATTGTTGCTGGAGGCATTGAGTAATGTCAATCCGATCGCCATTCCTAAACCTTTCGGGAAGGAATCAATGAAGTAATTCTGACTCACATCAACAGTTTCTAGCAGTGTAAGATTCGAAAGTGATCTGGGCAATGCAGATGAGAACCCATTGCAGCATAAATTGATGGAAGTGAGACTCCGGAGAAGTTGAATGTCATCAGAGACGAGTCCACTGATATTCCGACGTGAAAGATCAAGCTTTTCGATTCTTCCATTGGAATTACACTCAATTCCGGTCCAGTTACAATGGCCATTGGGTTCTTCAGAGATCTTCCAATCTTTTAGCTGATCGAGAGGATCAATAAGGTGTGATTTGATTGTCAACAGGATCGATGCTTGATCGTTCTCCTCTACGACCTTTGAAAACACCGAGGAACAACAGAACAAGAAGAAGAAGAACCAAAAATGGGGTTTCGACATGGCGGTGGTGGCTCTGTTTCTTGAAGAGTTGGGTTAAATTTCGATCATTTTGGATCTGGATAGAGAAGGTGAGTGGAAGTGAAGTGGTGATAAAATTATATGTAAGCAGTAGCAGTTAAGCAGATAACATGGGGAAGATTAATAATTCTCTGTTTTTAATTTAAAAAAGCAGGGGGTTGAGATCTTGAAGAAGGTAATGGGACACTCTGTGAAATTTGGAAGTATTGAATAAACATCCGACACTAACATGGGGAAGAATGTGTTTTCTTCCTAATTCCATTTGTCAACTTACTACTTACTAGTTACCCATATGATATATATAGAAATAAAATATATAATTCTGATGTTAATTATCAGATGCTTTTTAAATTACTTTTTAGGTTCTCATCATATAATTAGAAGTATGATAACTTGTAAATATGGTGAAAAGTTTGTGATAGTGTAGTAATTTCAAATTTGGAGTATACTTTGATTACTTCCCTCAAACGTAACATAAAAGCATTTGCGATTAATAAAATATTACTTAAAAACTTTACACTAGATCATTTTTATTTACTTTTATCTAAAATATTGTCAGGGAAATATACATATATATAAAACTATCATGAAAATATGAGTTTATGGTCGATGAATAATCTTTTACTAAAATCTTCAAGATGGATCAGTATTTTATTTTCAAACGTAGTTAGATAAATTTTTAAAAAACTTGGCTAAGAAATTGTTTAGATGAGTCGAAAGTCTCATAAAAGTATTTTTAGATGCCTACACATTCTATATCTGTAGGGGCCATAAGATGGACAATATAAATAACCAATCAAATCATATAATATTTTATACATATAAATATAAATATTAGTCAATAAAATTAACCTAAAATACTCACCATTCAAAATTTCTATAAAAATGCAGTGTTATGGGGTGGAGTTATAGTTGCTTATGAGTGAAGGCAATGCTACAACAAAATCTATGCTTTTAAAAGCAAGCTCCAAAAGCTGTATGCTTAATACAGTTCATTGAAAAAAAAAACATTCTCAAAAGTTTCCTTATATTTAAACCCCAGTTATATGACAAAGATTATGATTTATGAGTCAAAATCACTCAATGTCCAACCCCATATAACTTTTTATATATCCAATATAGCAAGAAAAACAAAATATTTATGTATATGTCGATTCGAATACAATTTTGATTACATTCCAATTGAAATTTTAGTTTTCATATAACTTTTTATTTTTAACCTTTGTCCTATTATAGTGGTGTTGAATTATTTATTTGATATGTTTATTAACTTATTACAGTTTAACATCAATAACTATTTTAAATTTTTTGGATCGAAAAATATTAAAAACATATATTCACTTAAATAATGAAAGTTACTTCTTCATTGGTTTAAATAAAAACTCTTTTACCACACTAATAACTACATTATTCCATTTCCAATATTCTATTTATATATATATATATATATAATATATATATATATATATATATATATATATATATATATATAATATATATATATATATACTACAACTATTACAAGTAACCAGACATAATTAATAATTAAAGACAAAATAGTATAAATATGTCAATTTTAACTAATTTGCAGATAATGAGTTGATATGAGGGCCTTGAGGTTATAAATTTGTTAGGGGTGTCTAGGATTGCATATTTACAACAACTTGTTATTAATATATATATATATATATATATATATATATATATATATATATATATATATATATATATATATATATATATATATGGTTTATCGAGTGTTGTTAGGGGTTTCAAACATATATTGGTTTATCGAGTGTTGTAAATATGCAATCCTAGACACCCCTAACAAATTTATAACCTCAAGGCCCTCATATCAACTCATTATCTGCAAATTAGTTAAAATTGACATATTTATACTATTTTGTCTTTAATTATTAATTATGTCTGGTTACTTTTATATATATATATATATATATATATATATATATATATATATATATATATATATATATATATATATATAATAGAATATTGGAAATGGAAAACATGAGAAGTGAATATTAAGAGATTGATAGACATATGATCAACTATTGATGGTTGCAAATGCATAATGTCACATGCTAACATGTGCTTAGTTTTTAAATCTTAAAAAAGAGAGCGAGTGGTGCGTCACTTTGTGGCATCAAAAGGCCATCCACATGTGAGAAAGCCATCTTTCACCACTTTCCATCATCCTATTATTAGACAGAGAACGATGTAATTAGTTTATTATATATATATATATATATATATATATATATATATATATATATATATATATATATATATATATATAGTTGTAAATAATTGGTGGTGTTGTAAATAATTGGTGGATGACATAATAATTGCTGCATGGTACATTTGTCAACATTTTTAACTAGTTTACAATTATATGTTAGTAAAATTTGTAGTATAAATACCCATCCATTGTAAAGAATGAAACACACCAAAAAGTTATAAGAGATATAACTTTCATATTCTCTCTAAATATTCTTTCTTCTCAATTAAAGTTCTTATCAAAGTTTACTAGTTTGGTTTGATTTATAGTTACATTAATTACACTTAATTTATAACACGTTATCAGCACAAAAGCTCTAATCAAGGTTATCAAACAAGTGGAAAATCACATCTATCTTAATCAATGTATGTATTACTTATTAAAAACACTACTAATTATAAAAACCTCAATCATATTAAAATAATAATAATACTAATGAATTAATGAAACTTATACATTATGGACTACTAACAATTTTTATTTCTTATACTAACATTTCTTTATGTATTCTAATTTTTATACTAACATTTACATTATGCAACTAATTTTTATTTATGCAAACTAACATTTACATTATGCAACTAACTTTTATTTATGCATACTAACATTTATATTATGCTACTAACTTTTATTTGTGCATACTAACATTTAAATTATATTTATTTATACATGTCAATGTTTATTTATATTTTAGATACTCTTCATAATTTTATTTAAATATTTACTAATATTTATTTATGTTTCTAATTAGTAAAGTTATGTATTAGTTATAAGTCTTATTATATGATTTATAAAATACATATACATATATACACAACGAGAATATATATGCAACGGTTATAAACAGCAAAAACAACGGCTATATTTTTTTACCATAAATAAACATCTTTACCCTGCTTATTTTACCCACAACAAATATTTCTCTTTTCTATCAAATAAATCAATTTCAAGAAATCAAGCTTCAAGATGATTCATCCTTTTGTGATAATCATGACTATAATAGTCATGTTACTTTTCATCCCAATCCTTAACATCGAAGATAATATGGAATTTCATCTACTTTTAGGCTTGTATGCAATGTTAGCTTTACCGCTTCTTTTTTGTGTAATATTTATTGAAATAAATGGATTTTAATTTTAAAATTTATAGTTACATTATGTCCAACATTGCAAAGCTCGAGTTTGCAGCACTTGAAGTTAGTGGGAAAAACTATGTGCCATGGATGATAGATGTAAAAATGCATCTTGAATCCATGGGTATCTCAAATACTATATATGAATTTAATAATTGCTTGGCACAAGACAAAGCAAAAGCACAAGTTTTCCTTCGTAAGCATATTGATGAAATATTGAGATTTGAATATCTTGATGTTACTGATCCAAGTATTCTTTGGAATCTTTTGAAAGAAAGATTTGATCATCAAAAGGAAGTTATACTTCCAAATGCTAGAGATGAATGGAGAACACTAAGGTTTCAAGACTTCAAGAAAGTAAATGAATACAACTCATCTTTGTTCAGAATATGTTCACAACTCAAGTATTGTGGACAAGAGGTTACTGATGAAGATATGTTGGAGACAACTTACTCAACATTTCATGCAACAAACATTGCCTTGATGCAACAATATCAGATGCAAAAGTTCACAAGATATTCTGAACTGAATGCATGTCTGCTCGTTGCAGAGCAAAACAATGAACTCTTGATGAAAAACCATGAATCTCGTCCAATGGGATCAGTAGCACTTCCTGAAGCAAATGCTACAAATATTGACGGTCATCGAAACAATACACGTGGACGAGGGCGAGGTCGTGGTCGAGGACGAGGCCGTGACTATTTTAATCGAAACCAAAGCCATAATCAGAACCATAATTCTGGTCGTGGACAAGGTAATAATCTTGGTCGTGGCCAGAAAAGGAATAATTACCAATATTCACAAAGAAACAATGTCCACACACAAGATAAGGCCAAAGTGACAAGGCATGACACTGGGACATCACAAAAATTTGATGGTTCATGTTATAGATGTGGTAGCACAGGCCATTGGTCAAGGACCTGTCGCACACCTGCACATCTTTGTCAACTTTATCAAGAGTCCATTAAAGGAAAAGGAAAAGAAGCAAACCTCATTGATAATGTTGAATTCACTCCGCTAAATGTTGCTGATTTCTGCAATGACATGGAAGACATAATCTAAAAAAAAAATAATAAAAAAAATCTATTATTGTTCTAGTAAAACTGTTTTTCCTTCGTTTGTTTTTCATGTAATGTCTTTTCTACAATAAATGAACTTTCTTTTTAATAATAATTATGATTATGTTTATTCACTTATTATTCCTTTATATGTGAAGTTTAATATGAGTCCAACTGGAGCACAACACCAAGAAAAGATTGGAGATCTTTGTATAGCAGATAGTGGTAGTACACATACTATTCTGAAATCAAAGAAATATTTTTCAGAATTAGTACCAACAAAAACAGTCATACATACAATATCAGGTCCTGCAGACTTGATAGAGGGAACCGGGAAAGCCCATTTTATATTACCAAATGGTACAAGCTTTTGTATAGAAAATGCCTTATTTTCTCCAAAGTCTAATAGAAACTTATTAAGTTTCAATGACATATATTTCAAAGGTTATGACACAAAAACTGTGACCATTGAAAATAAGAAATATATGTATATTATAGACAAAAACCATGTGCTTGAAAAACTACCAACACTTGATTCTGGTCTGCATTATACATATATACATATGATTGAATCAAATATGGTAGTAGAAGGAAAACATTGTGATCCTGGGACATTCAGTTTATGGCATGATAGGTTGGGCCACCCAGGATTAACAATGATGCGAAGGATAATTGAGAATACACATGGGCATCCATTGAAGGACCAAAAGCTCCCTCAATCCAACAGCATAAAATCATGTGCATCTTGTTCCCTTGGAAAGTTAATTATAAAACATTCTCCAATGAAAGTTGAAAGGGAGTCA